GGTGCTTCTCCTGGTCTCCCATGGGGTGCAGGGCCCAAGCACTTGGGCCATCCTCCACTGCACTCCCGGGCGACAGCAGAGAGCTGGCCTGGAAGAGGGGCAACCGGGAAAGAATCCGGCACCCCGACCAGGACTAGAACCCGGTGTGCCAGCGCCGCTAGGTAGAGGATTAGCCTATTGAGCTGTGGCGCCAGCGCAAGGTACTATTTTAAGCACTTATATTTACTAAAACTTAGTTTTTGGGGCCAGCACTGTGGTGTAGTGGGTAAAGCCACTGACTGCAGGGCCGGCATCCCATATGGGTGCCAGTTCAAGTCCCAGCTGCTCCTCTTCTGATCTAACTTTCTGCTATGGCCTCAGAAAGCAGTTGAAGATGGCTCAAGTGCTTGGGCCACTGTGACCATGTGGGAGACCTGGAAGGAGCTCCTGGATTCGAACCGACCCAGCTCTAGCAGTTGTGGCCATCTGGGGAATGAACCAGCAAATGGAAGACTCTCCTCTCTCCGTCTCCCTCTCTTTCTCTCTGCCTCTCTGTAACTGTGCCTTTCAAATAAATAAATAAATCTTACAAAAAAAAAAAACACAAAACTTAGTTATTCCTAACAACTATCCTTGGAGGCATATACTGTTAATTATAAAAGGGAAAACTGAGTCACAGGGAATTTAAATAACTTACCCAAGGTTACACACCCTGGAAGAGGCAGAGTTGCAGTTTGAGTATGGCAGCCTGGACACAGAGCTGCGCTCTTATCTTCCTCACAAATCTATATCAGCTGGGATCTCAGAGTCAAACCTGGCTTATCCTAAGTTGAATTCCTATTTATTTATTTACTTTCCTCAGAAACCTTTAATTTAAGGAATACAAACTGCATGCTTTTCATAAATATAACTTTAGGAATATCATGATTCTTCCCACCATACCCACCCTCCCACCACACAATCCAGCCCTCCTCCTCCTCCTCTCTCCTAATCCCATTCTTATTTTTACTAAGATCTATTTTCAATTAACTTTATACATGCTATTAACTCTATACTAAGTAAAGAGTTCAACAAACTGTTTGAAAGACAACTGTTTCTCAGTAGTTGAGACAGGCTGTTCAAAGTTACTGCATCTCAAAAGTGTCAATTTCACTTCTATAGATTACCTTTTAGGTGCTCTATTAGTTACCACAAATCAGGGAGAACATATGGTATTTGTCATTTTGGGACTGGCTTATTTCACTAAATATGATGTTTTCCAGTTTCATGGATTTTGTTGCAAATGACAGGATTTCATTTTTAAGTGCAGTGTAGTATTCCATGGTGTATAAATCCCATAATTTCTTTATCCAGTTTTCTGACAGGCGTTTGGGTTGATTCCATGTCTTAGCTATTGTGAAGTGAGCTACAATAAACATGGGGTACAGATAACTCTTTCATATGCTGATTTCATTTCCCTTGGGAAAATTCCCAAGAGTAGGAAGGCTGGGTCATATGATAGGTCTATCTTTCAGATTTCTGAAGTATCTCCATACTGTCTTCCCCAGTAGCTATACCAGTTTACATTCCACCAACAGTGGATTAGGGTACCTTTTTCCCCTCATCATCGTCAGCATCTGTTGTTTGTTGATTTCTATATGAGAGCCATTCTAATTGGGGTAAGATGAAACCTCATTCTGGTTTTGATTTGCATTTTCCTGATGGCTGATGATCCTGAGTATTTTTTCATATGTCTGTTGGCCATTTGGATTTCCTCTTTTGAAAAATGCCTGTTTATGGCTGGCGCCATGGCTCAATAGGCTAATTCTCCACCTGTGGAGCCGGCACACCAGGTTCTAGTCCAGGTCAGGGTGCTGGATTCTGTCCCGGTTGCCCCTCTTCCAGTCCAGCTTTCTGCTGTGGCCCAGGAGTGCAGTGGAGGATGGCCCAGGTTCTTGGGCCCTGTACCCCATGGGAGACCAGGAGAAGCACCTGGCTCCTGGCTTTGGATCAGCGCAGTGCACTGGCCGCAGTGTGCTGCTGGAGCGGCCATTGAGGGGTGAACCAACGGAAAAGGAAGACCTTTCTCTCTGTTCTCTCTGTCTCTCTCTCTCACCGTCCACTCTGCCTGTCCAAAAAAAAAAAAAAAAAAATGCTTGTTTAGTCCTTTGCCCATTTTAAAATCTTTTCTTTATGTTTCCTGTGGAGAGCTTGACTACAGTGTGTTGTGGTGAAGATCTTTTCTGTTCATGTCTATTAGCAGTTCTCTGTGCTTCCTGAACTTGGAGGTCCCTTTCTTTCTCCAAATTAGGGAAGTTTTCTATAATTATTGAACTAAAAAGGCCTTCTAATCCATTCTCTCGTTCCACTCCTTCAGGAACTGCTAACACTAGTTTGTTGGGTCGTTTGATAGTATCCCGTAAATCTCTGACACTGATTTTAGTTTTCTTATTTCTTCTTTTTTATTTTTATTTTTTTGTCTGTAACATTTCCAGAGATTTGTCTTCTAACTTGGATATTCTTTTTTCTGCCTGAGTCTGTTCTTCAGACTTTCCATCATATTTTTTATTTGTTCTATTGAATTCTTCACTTCTGATATTTTTTGTTATGATTTCTCTTTAAAATCTCAATTTTGTAGGCGGAATTTTCATTCATGTCATGTACGGACTTCTTTGGTTCATGAATTTGCTTCTGATTACTTCTAAGTAGTCCTACAATCACTTTTTTTTTTTTTTTTTTTTGACAGGCAGAGTGGACAGTGAGAGAGAGACAGAGAGAAAGGTCTTCCTTTGCCATTGGTTCACCCTCCAATGGCCGCCGCGGCCGGCGCGCTGCGGCCGGCGCACCACGCTGATCTGATTGCAGGAGCCAGGAGCCAGGTGCTTTTCCTGGTCTCCCATGGGGTGCAGGGCCCAAGCACCTGGGCCATCCTCCACTGCACTCCCTGGCCACAGCAGAGGGCTGGCCTGGAAGAGGGGCAACCGGGACAGAATCCGGCACCCCGACCGGGACTAGAACCCGGTGTACCGGCGCCGCTAGGCGGAGGATTAGCCTAGTGAGCCGCGGCGCCGGCTCTTACAATCACTTTTTTTAATTCTGATTCTGGCATTTTGTCAATCTCTTCATCTTCATGTTCTGATATTGAAGTGTTGTCTTCTTTTGAGGGCATCATGTTGTCTTCCTTCTTCTTGTTTCCTGAATTGCTGCATTTATTAATAGGCATTTGTGGTTATACTTGTTGGTTTTTGTCTTTTCCTCTGTGATGCCTTTTATCTTCTAACTGTGCTTCTGTGGCTTAGTAGAGTATCCACTATTTCAGTGAATACCCAGAGGGTGTGGTCTGGGAGCTTTGTTTAGTGCTCCAGTGTGAGGGCAGTGTTTAAGGTGACACCCAAGTTGGGTGTAGTAAATCTCTCTTTTTTTAATCAGAGGAGAGATCAGTTCTGCTATGTTGGTATAATCTTACACTCACCTCCTCTTCAAGGAGACGGATGCCTGGATGCAAGCTCTAGTGAGTACAATTTTCATCCATGCTACTACAATACTACAAGAACTACACAAAGGATCTGTGCAGTCTTTAGTGTGAATATGGATCTTGCCACAGTGACCCTCACAGGGAATCTGGGAGCCCTGAGCATGTGGAGCTGCCCACAGTCACTGTCCAAAGTACTAGCCACACAACGTGCCCTCCCATGCAGCCACAGTGTTTTCCCAGTCCCAGCATACAAGGCTCTCACAGTCTCGAGCTCCCAGCCAGACTCAGGTGTATCCTCTCGGCTGGTTGTTTGGTGCACTGATACAAGGTACGTCCAAAATGGTGTCCATGCTGAGTGTTTGGGGAGAGGGAAATGTGTCCCCTTTTCTTCCCTCTAGGTTGGCAGGTACACTTTCTCCCACAGGGCTCCAAGCCAGACTCCTACCAGGCTCTTCCCACTGCTTTATCACCAGTGGTGTGGGCTGCTGAAGTCTGGCTTCACTTCACTTCAAAGCTGGTGCTGAGGTTCTCTGCTGAGTTGTGGGCATCCACACCCTCCACGTTGATATACAGTGTCCCTCTAATTTGTGTGGTGTTTCCTCTGCCATTTTCTCCCTAACTCTTCCCTGAGACTACGTTCTCTCCACTTTATTTTAACTATCTTCCCCTAGACTACAACAGCAAGCTCCCTCCCTATTCTGTTATCTTGACTTGAATCCCCACACTGTTTTCTTTTTAACATTTTTTTAAGTTTCTTAAATGTCTGACTTAGAAGAATACAGTTGCATTCTCGTACCTGATTCTGCATTCAATTTATTGGGAAAACACATGACATTTAGTGAAAATTAATGAGAAGTGAAAACAGAAAATGATCTGTAGTTGTGACATTGGATACCCTCAGAGGTATCCGGGATACCAGGTGTTTCATGACCATACTGTGGAAATGTTCTTTTTTATTTCACTGTAGTTGTTGATTTTTTTCAGATATATATTTGTACATTAAATATTGACCAGTGATCATCTTACGAAAGCTAGCTCAGCTGTGATTCAGGTTATGTTATAAAAAACTTAAATCTGTGGGTGAGGTTATTCTGTGAACACGAGAGTGATCGAAGGCTTATGAGCTGGGTTGGCCAGAGATGAGACGTATGTTTTAATATTAGTATTTCCATTATACATGAATGAGAAGAGAAATTACAGGACAGAGGTCATTCAGAAAATTACTGAAATTGGTTGGATTCCAGTGACTACATGTAACAGTACCTGCTTGTACCTTATATCATGTACTCATAATTTGGAAGCCTGTTACAAGCCTGAACTTGTTTTGTAGAATTGTACTTCCCTTACCTGCCTCTTGCTTCTACTCTTAAATACCTTAAAAAATACGAATAGAAAAGATTTTGGGAAATTTAAATTTTATTGGCTTCTTTGATCCTAAGATACTTATTTTCAAAGAAATTTCTACAAAAATAACCTAAGTATGGATTTCTTAAATGACTAACCTATGTACATGTGAATTAGTTCTATGTGAATATAATAAGAACCAATGTTCATCTTAACTGCACAGATGCAGGACAGCTGGAGCACACATTGATGAGTCATTATTCCCTGCAGCCAATACCAGTGAGCACTTACCAAGTCTGATTAAGAAAAAGGTAAGTGTGTGATTTCAATCTGGACTGTGGTGGTTATGACTTTATTCAATCTTATTCTTTTATTCCTGAGAGAAAAAACTTCTAGAAATATATTTAGAAGTTGTGTTGAGTTTGCTATTGATGGTATTCTTTTGCACACAGCCTTTTTTGATGAATTACAGACATTATTTTATCCTATGAGTCCTTTGATATAATTTGTAAGAAATGGAAGCAGCTGGGGCTGCCACTGTGGTGTAGCGGATAAAGCCGCCACCTGCAATGCCGACATTCCATATGGACAATGGTTTGAGTACCGGCTGCTCCACTTCCAATCCAGCTCTCTGCTATTGCCTGGGAAAGCAATAGAAGATGGTCCAGGTCCTTGGGCCCCTGCACCCGCGTGGGAGACCTGGAAGAAGCTCCTCACTCCTGGCTTTGGATCGGCGCAGCTCAGGCTGTTGCAGCCAATTGGAGAGTGAACTAGCAGATAGAAGACCTCCCCCCCTCCCCTTTCTCTTCTTCTCTCTGTGTGTAACCCTGATTTTCAAATAAATAAATAAATCTTAAAAAGAGAGAAAAAAAGACATGGAAACAGCTGTGGTTGCCCACAGGCCAACTTCAAGTTGCCAAGGGTCTGGCTGTTGTACCAGAGCTTTGGTAGTAATCTGGAATCCAGCTTGCTGTGTGCAGTAAGCTGTCTTCCTGCTGCTTCGCTGGATCACCTGAGAGGTGCAGAGTGATCTGCCCAAGTGCAAAGAATCTGGTTCTTTTTGTTTGTTTTATTTATTATTTTTTTAAGATTTATTTATTTGAAAGTCAGAGTTACAGAGAGAGGAGAGACAGAGAGAAATCTTCCATCTGCTATTTACTCTCCAAATGACCACATGACTGGGGTTGGGCCAGCCCAAAACCAGGAGCCTGGAGCTTCTTCCGGATCTCTCATGTGGGTGTAGGGCCCAAGCACTTTGGGTGATCTGCCACTTTCCTAGGTACACTAGTAGGGAACTGGATTGGAAATGGGGCAGCCGGGTCTCAAACCAGCACCCATATGGGATACTGGTGCTGTAGGTGGCAGCTTAACTTGCTGCGCCACAGCGCCAGCCCTGAGAATCTGGTTTACAAATAAAGTGAAGTAACTGCTTTCATCTGAGGTCTCATTCACATTTCCAACTTTTTGTGAATTCTGTATTTGAGGTTAAGCTGGTCTACTACCACACTTCGAAACCATTTTATCTTCACATGATAATAATCCACTAGATATGATGAATTCCTCCTAAATGAATTAGGTGAACAAGAACTGCGCATTTCCCATAAATTAAAGGGGAAGCAGTTGTGAGCTTCTCTTCATTGTCTGAATACAGTGAGTGTTCCTACTCCATCAGATTTTTTTTTTTGAAATTCAAACATCGAATAGACATTTAATGATATTTCAGAATCATTGGTAACTGGAGGGTATTATAAGTTTTGTGTCTGTGTTCTGAAAAGCCCTAATCTTAGACACATTCTGAAATATTTACCAAAGAAATAGCCTGATCCCTGAATTCTGCTTCAAAACAACACAGGAAGTGTTGTGACTGCTCAGGCATACTGTGTACAGGGGGCTTCTGTGCACTCTTCTGGCACTGTTACCTGTGTTTGAAATTCCTCCTAGTCCAAAGCAGAGAAAGGGACTGGGCAAAGCCTGACTTCTGTTTCCCCTTTCCAGTCCCCCACCTACTTCATCCCCAAGGCCTACCCCACGACTTGAGGGATCCTTTAAGTCTGCTCCCCAGCTCCCCACAAAACAATGCCAGATGAGGTCCGGGCCATGGAAGATGTTTATGGGGGGTGGGTCTCACCTGCAGCGTCCTGCTCCTCAGTGGCTCAGCGACTTGCTGCCCTTGAGCATGTGGCGAAGGATGCGGCCTGCTTGCTCAGGCACTGGACACAGACATGCTTGTGTGTGCGTGCGTTTGATGTTGCTCAGCTGGTGCGCATTCCCAGGTGCCTTGCCCTGGGCCTGCTGTGGGGCGAGGAGTCCCCAGAATCCTGGTAGTCCAACCAGAACCCAGAGTGGAACCCCGTGCTACCTGGAGTGCTGTCAACCTCCTGGCGGGGCCTATGAGAAACCTGACCAACCTTGGCCAGCACAGTGATGGACATCCACCAAATTTCATCTCTGACTAGTGCCCTGGCAGACTTTGCTCAGTCTCCACCCAGGCCTTGTCATCTGACCACAGGGAGAAAAGAGTTCAGCAGAGCTGTGGCAGGATGAAACGAAGTGTTACAGAAACACATGAGCAATCCACATTGTTTTTAAAGCAGTCAGTAAACAGAGATAACAATCTGTCTTGATTCTGTTTTCCCTCAAAATAAGCCATTTCCATTTAATGGGTCTCTTTCCAGGTGGGATGTCTGATACCTGTGTGTTTTTTTGGGGACTTGCTTTTTCTTCCCCACTCAACAGTAGACTTTTATTCATGTCCTGTTGGGGGGTGTAAGTACCTACTCATTTTTTCTATGTTGTGTTGTATAGCATGATGTGCCTTCCTGTACTCCTACGTTAACAGTTATTGCTGAGTACGTTCGTGACCTGTTCAACTAGTTGGATATCTGGAAATGAAAGTACCAGGTCAGAACACGCACATTCTGGTCATGAGTGGTGTGTAAGAGTGCCTGTTTCATGACGCTCTGACCAGTGCTAGATCTTACCAGTCCTTTTACTTTTTCCTGATCCGAAGCATAAATAATGCCAGTTGTATACTTCCACTTTAGTCTTTATTTACTCGTGTCTAAAAACGTTCGCTTTCCTCTCCTTTCCCAAATGCAGCTTCAAGTTAAGCATGACTTGAGATGTTGTTAATTTGAGTTCTTGGAGGAGATTCTTTGGCTGTCTCCCCCTCACTCTTTTTTTTTTTTTTTTGGACAGGCAGAGTGGACAGTGAGAGAGAAGGGTCTTTCTTTTTCCATTGGTTCACCCCCCAATGGCCGCTCCGGCTCGTGCGCTGCAGCTGGCGCACTGTGCTGATCCAAAGCCAGGAGCCAGGTGCTTCCTCCTGGTCTCCCATGCGGGTGCAGGGCCCAAGTACTTAGGCCATCCTCCACTGCACTCCTGGGCCACAGCAGAAAGCTGGACTGGAAAAGGGGCAACCGGGACAGAATCTGGTGCCCCGACTGGGACTAGAACCCAGGGTGCTAGCACCGCAGGTGGAGGATTAGCCTAGTGAGCCGCGGCGCCGGCTCCCCCTCATTCTTTCTAAAGGCAGCCAGCCTCATAGCTTGCTTGCTGCTCCCCAGTCAAACCATGCTTGTTTCTGTTTTAGAGCCATTGCATTGTTTGTCTCCTCTGAATGATTCGTGCTCCCCCAGAAGCCATCCCCATAGACTCATTTTCTAACTTCCCTGTGGCTTCGTGCAAATGTGCTTTGTCATTGAGACCTATGTGGACACCCTTGTATTTGCAATAGCAGCTCCTACCCCACCCCCAACTTGGGCCAGTTGTCCTGTCTCTCTTTTTCATTTTTATCTGTAGTACTTACTACCTCTCTTTAAAAATAATGTTTGTTTATCTTCACATACTTGAAAGGTAGAGATGCGCACACGCGCACGCACACACACAGATCTTCCACCTTCTGGTTCACTTCCCAAATGTCTGCCACATCCAGAGCTGGGTTAGGCCTGAGCAGGAGCCCAGGACATTTCTCTTCCTAATGCAGTGCAAGAACAGTGGTGGTCAGAAGGCTTCATTTGCTAAGGAACCGGTGCTTCCAAATCTTCAGGATACCTTGGACCCGTATTGTCCTCTGCTAGCTGCATGGCCTCTTCACAGAGCCCACTGAGAAATCACTGATCTCACTGATACTGAATGGTGCTGACGCACCGTGCAAGATGTCTCCACACTCTAGCCCCATGATTACAAAGCAGCACTGTGAACTTGGTATATTTCATGTTGTACAGTTGAAATTAACCTCCCAGCACACCTGTGGCATATCATACATATTTATTATGATTGTTTCCCGATGTTCCTTACTAGAGTATATACCCCATTATGGCAGGGATGTTTCTGGGTTTCAAGACCAGTGCTTGTTAGTGAGTGAGTGACTGACTGATAGTGCAAGATCCTGAGTCAGGAAGACGAGGCACAGGCATCAGCCTTGCATTGCTAAAATAAAACCTTTCTTTAAGACTAGAACAAAAAAGTAAAACCAGGAACCCATATGAGCAGCTATGGAGTGTAGCTTCAACCTGGAAACTCAGAGAGAGAGCTTGGGCATAAGAGGGATAAAATTGGTACAGTTTCTGTGTGTGTGGAGTGAGGGCTGGGCTAGATTAGAAAGACTCTTCTGTGGCTATCACACTGGAGATTCATGTGTTTGTGTTTGAGGCAAAATTAAATGATTTTTTCCTTTGGTAATAATACAATAATTGCTTTTGTGTTTTATTACTATGCCATGATTTTGGAAGGAAGATGGTTTGACAGTAGCAAAAAATAGGAAGAAACTACGTCTGCTAAGAACTCTCATGAAACCCAAGAATGTTATGATCCTGAAAATGTCTGAGAAATAATATAATGTAGAATGTTTTATTCAGTCTTTTAAATTCTGTTCATTTTTTAAAATAGTTGTACAAAAATAAATATTGCCAATTCACAGATAGTGCAAGAAATAGAAAATTTTAGGGAGTTATTATTGGTATTATAAAAGATAACAAAAATATGTGGGAAAGGTTCCCCCCCATGTTAAATAGTTATAATATTTTCACTCATTTTTATGTCCCTTTTGTACAGCGCAAGTGTATGCAGCCCAAAGATTTTTTTCCCAAAACACCAGATAATGATAAAAGACTTCAAAAGAAATTTGACAAAATGGCTCAAGAACTACAGAGGCAAAAAACCACTCTAGGTAAGTCAAGAATTGTCGTAGAACCTTCTTCATGTGTGTCCATGTGTCTTGTTCCTGTGGTTTGCAGGATTGAGTAGCTAATGATGACTGCATGAGTTTTAGGCTAGGAAGAGAGCACAGAGTATGAGTGGAAGCTGAGACTCATGGCCCTAAGACAGTCTCACAGTGGAGCTCATCAGTCGTAGTCTTGATCATTTTTATGTTGATGGAACCTTTTATTTTTAGGAATGATTATAGAATAAAAGCAAGCTTTGACTAATAAACCTGACTGAAATAATTCCCCATGTATTTCTTCTTTTTTTAAAGCAGGAATTTTTAAAAAAATATATTTATTTATTTATTTGAATGTGAGACTTACAGAGAGAAAGAGAGAGAAGAGAGAGAGATCCTCCATCCACTGGTTCACTCCCCAAATGGTTGCAGTGGCTGAGACTGGGACAGGCCAAAGCCAGGAGCTTATTTCGGGTATCCCATGTAGGTGCAGGGCACAAGGACTTGGGCCATCCTCTGTTGCTTTCCCAGGCACATCAGCAGGGATCTAGATTAGAAGCAGAGTAGCCTGGACTTGTACCAGCTCCCAGGATGCTGGCACTGTAGAAGATTGCTTAAGCCTCTTCACCATAGCACCAGCTCATAACTTTTTAGTTTTACCCCATGGTTGTTTTTGTTTGTTTCTTTTGTTAGCCAGAATAAGCAAATCTTTTTTTTTTGTTTGTTTGTTTTTTTGAGGTATAAACGACCTATATTGGTTACCATGCAAAAGGGAACAGAGCGTGGGGTTTGACAGCTCCTGCTCCAGGGAAGGCGTCTGCAGACCCGCTCAGCATGCGCAGAAAAGATGCACAAATCTTAGAAGATAAATTCTTTCAATGATTTAGAAAAATAGAACACTGTTAAACTTTTAAAGTCTTTTGTGTTTTTAACATTTCTCTTTTTTGCCTTTTTCTGTCCTCTGAATATAGAATTTTACATCAATCCTGACGTACCAGTGCTGTTAAAATTAAGCAATTTTGATTAGGTAATGCATAGTGCAAAAGTAGGAAGCTTTAATTCCTCTTGTTTTTTCTTTTAGTCTATATTACTATGTCAAATTTTGTAGTCTGTATTTTAAAACTATTCATACAGAATGACAAGGCTTTGTTTTTAGCCTGTGATCAGCAACAGAAGTGATCAGAACATTTAGCCCCCACAGTGCTGTTACATAATTTTCTAAAAACATGGCTTTTGTTAAGCTTTTTCATGCTTAGTCCTCCTTTTGTAAACTGGTCCTCCCATTACAGGCCCACACTGTTCAGTCTTCTTAGCGTCTCAAACCAGAAACATGGAATTATTGTTGATGCTGCCATCTGTCTGGCACTGATACCCAACAAGACCACAACCCACTTATGAAATAATTGAGCCCTTTTGTTACTCTGCTTCACACTTTCGTCCAAGCCAGCATGGGGGGTGAACCAATGGACAAACAAAGACCTTTCTCTCTCTCTCTCTCTCTCTCACTGTCTAACTCTGCCTGTTAAAAAAAAAAAAAAAAAAAATCCTGTATTGAACATGTCCTACTAGAACCTGTGTGAACCTGTTCCTCCAGCCTCAAGTCAGTACTATACTATTATGGTTTTGCCCCTCTGGCCTTGTTTGTTATGTTAGATAGTATGTTTGTAAAGAATTGAACAGAATGACAGAAACAGATACAAAATCATCTTTTCTTTTTAGATCAATAGAAATTGGCTTTTTTTTTTTTTAATTTTTTATTTGGAAGAGTTACGTAGAGAGAAGAGACACAGAGAGATCATCCATCCGCTGGTTCACTGCTCAGTGACCTCAATGTCAGGGAATGGCCAAGCCGAAGCCAGGAGTCAGGAGCTTCTTCTGGATCTCCTAGATGAGTGCAGGGACCCAAGTACTTGGACCTTCTTCAACTGCTTTCTCAGGCACATTAGCAGGGAGCTGGATTGGAAGTAGAGCAAGCTGGGTCTCAAACTGATGCCTATATGGGATATGGGCATTGTGAGCAGCGGCTTTACCACTGTAGCACAATGCTGACCCCAGAAATTGGCTTTTTAAAACTATAAACGTTAGGGGCCGGTGCTGTGGCGCAGAGGGTTAAAGCCTTGGCCTGAAGCGCGGTATCCCAAATAGGTGCCGGTTCTAGTCCCGGCTGCTCCTCTTCTGATCCAGCTCTCTGCCTGTGGCCTGGGACAGCAGTAGAAGATGGCCCAAGTCCTTGGGCCCCTGCACCTGTGTGGGAGACCTGGAAGAAGCTCCTGGCTCCTGGCTTCGGATCGGCGCAGCTCCAGCCATTGCAGCCAATTGGGAAATAAACCAGTGGATGGAAGACCTCCCTCTCTCTCTCTGCCTAACTCTTTCAAATAAATAACTCTTTTAAAAAAACTATAAACATTAATGACATTAACAAGTATGTGCCTGTATATTATCAGAACTATAGTGAAGGTTGTTCAGACCTAAGAGTTGTAAAGGAAAAGGTACTGAATGATTATTGTCAAAATCCCAAACTTCTCTTTGAGTGTATGCAGGTATGTTCTAGGAAAATGTTCAAGTGTGCACCCACACACAACCAATCCATAATTTCATGGTTTGGTAACACCCTAATGCCTGCTTCATACAGACAAGTTCCTGAAACCTTGGGTAAAAAAACAATTAAGGAACCAAATCACATTCTGGCTTTACAACTAATTAGTAGTTGTCTGACTCTGCACAAGTTATTTAACTCCTGTCTGAGTTTCCTCATCTTTTTTTTTTTTTTAATCCATTTATTTATTTATTTGAAAGAAGGAGAGGAAGAAAAAGAGATCTTCCATCTGCTGGTTCACTCCCTAAATGACTGCAAAGTCATTTGGGCTAGGTTGGGCTAGGTTAAAGCCAGGAGCCCAGAACTCCATCCAGGTCTCCTTCATGAGTGGCAGTGGCCCAAATACTTGGATTAACACCCACTGCTTTCCCAGGCATATTAATAGAGAGCTTATCAAAAGCAGGGCAGCCAGGACATGAACCGACACCTTAGTATGGGTTGCCAACATTTCAGGTGGTGGCTTAACCGCTGTGCCGTAACACTGGCCCCTCAGTTTCTTCATCTTTATGGGATGCCTGTACTTAATATGGCTACTCAGTGATTTTATCACTGGCCCCTGAGTTGGTGGTGGAGGTAATGATGGTTAGGGGAGGAGGTAATGATGATAAAAAAGAAGATGATACTAGGAAGGTGATGGGAAGATTTTTTGAAAGAAAACATATTGTTGGGGCCATCGCTATGGCGTAGTAGGTAAAGCCTGCCTGCAGGGTTGACATCCCATATGGATGTTTGAGTACTGGCTGCTCCACTTCTGATCCAACTCTCTGCCATGGCCTGGGAAAGCAGTAGTAGATGGGTCAAATCCTTGGGCCCCTACACCTGTGTGGGAGACCGGGAAGAAGCTCCTGGCTCCTGGCTCCTGGCTTCAGATCAGTGTGGCTGTTGTGGCTAATTAGGGAGTGAACCAGCGAATGGAAGACCTCTCTCTGCCTCTCCTCTCTGTGTAACTCTCTTTCAAGTAAATAAATAAATAAATCTTTTTAAAAAATCATATTGTTGAAGTATGGATGCATATATGAACTTAAAATTGATTTTTTTTTATTTTCAGATAATGATACGCCTGTTCTCTTATTTGAATCTAATGGTATGTTGACGTATAGTCCCACAGTTAAAGTGTGTAGTCACCACAGCTCAATGGAGAAGAGATTGCAAGAGATGAAGGAGAAAAGGGAAAACCTTTCCCCTACCTGTGAGTGATTGTGGTTTGTGAATAAATTACGGTGGATAGTTTTTTGTTACCTAGATATTTTAGTTAATGTCTCTGATTCTAAGACTCACACAATAGGCATCTTTAAAATTTCATGCTAGACATTGTTAATGCTTTCTTCCAGAAAACCTTATGCTTCAAAGAATATATTGGTTGTATAGTGTACTCCAGGTTTAAATTCCTATTTGTTTTAGCTCCTTTGTCATTTCTGTTATCTTCAAAATTTTTCTTTTTAAAAATTGAATCAAGTTTCTTTTATAGGAGATTATTTTAAAGTATCTAATGTATCAGTTGTTATTTTAACATTTTAATTAAGTAATTATTTTTTAAAAGCCCATACTATTTTTATTTTTGGAAATTAAACCATGTCTTATTTTTTTTAACAATTTTATTTATTTGAATGACAGAGTTACAGAGAGAGGTAGAGATGGGGGGGGTGGGGCGCGGTGTCTTCCATCCGCTGGCTCACTCCCCAAAAGGTCACAATGGCCAGAACTGAGCCATTCCAAAGCCGGGAGCCAGGAGTTTCTTCTGTGTTTCCCACATGGGTTCAGGGGCCCAAGCACTTGGACCATCTTCTACTGTTGTCCCAGGCCACAGGCAGAGAGCTGTCTCAGAAGAGGAGCAGCTGGGACTTGAACTGGCACCTATATGGGATATAGGCACTGCAGGCAGTGGCTTTAACCCACTGTGCCACAGTGTTGGCCCCTAATTAATTATTGAGTACTTTTTTTATTTTTTATATTTTTTACCTTATCTATATTCGTTACAAGCTTTTAAAGCAAAATGACTTGAGCACTACATTTCCACTCAAACCTTGATGACTGACTTTTTGAACAGCTTTACAATACACTAGGTATGTTTACAATTTTGTTGTCCTTTAACAGTACTTTTCTTTAGAAAATAAGCCTTGTGGAAAGTTCTTCCCATCAAGTTGTTTTCATTTTAACCTGTTTCAGGATTGGCAACTACAGGGGAAAGTTTAAAAAATAGATCCTTCAAGATAAAACTCAAGCAATTTTAACAATTATTTTTCTTTTAAACACCAAGGCACATCCCCACACTTAAGTGACAAAAGATCTGATCTCCTAAGAAATCTGGCTTGAGTGCTACACTCTTTAGACCACAAAGTTAACAGTGGGTTACACACATCTTACAGCAAAGCACTACCTGGCCTGTTAAAACCAGTGTGGAACTGGAAAGGCACTGCTAGCTCTGCTGTGCCTGACATCACAGTGTCACTTAGAGGTAGAAAGAAGTCTTATCTTCCCCTTCAGTAGCTGTCACGACATATAGGTTTCTTTAAATGTTAACAAAAATGTGGAAAAAATCCTTAAAAATATATTATCAGAAGGAAGGAAGGTAAAGTATTGAACATGTGTACAAGTCATCTTTCAGGCACAGCTTAGTCGACTGCTTCCTTGTGTGATGTGTCATCATCACCTTCTAAGGGTGGTATTTCTTCTTTTACAGCAGCATTAGTGTCATCAGCAGTTGGGTCATCCTTATCAGCACCCAGTCTGAGCTTGATCATCTGTAGACGCCAGAAGAAAGGAAGGCAGTTTGATAACGCAAGATAACCAGATTGTTCACTAACTTGTCATCCTTAGCCAGTGCCTTTTTTCTTCAGGTCCCAGCAGTGGAATGGTCAGGGTTGTCTCCGGGTGTTTCTTTGCTGCCGTGTAACCCATTGTTGAGTTGTCTCTTAGGGCCCAAGCTTTCAGGATCCTTTCCTTGTTAGCTGTCCAGCTGTATGTGCTTGTTACAGTATAGCATGGACATGTCACCAGTCTGCTTGACACAACTGCCTTTTCAGCTTGTTGCTCCAATATATCTTTCATGGTTTTTCAGAGGTTTCCAAGCTTTTTTGTCATCCTATTTTTCTCTTCTTCATTTTCTGGAAGTTCCAGGCCCTCCTTGGTGACTGACACTGAAGTCTTCCCCTCAGATTCCATTAGCTGTTGAATGTAGTATATTGATCAGAATGGAGGATATTGTAATACAGTATTTAACAGTGGCAGTAAGAGTAAAAATTTATCATGATTCCCATGTAATGCTGCCCCTTGGTCCAGGGCTTCATCTGTATTTCTACCCTGACTTGTTTTTCCAGTTCTTTTTCAATGCATCATGTATCTGTGCATACCAGGAAAAGATACAGGGTTGCTTTCTGCATGGAAGTGTAATTTTTATCCCTAAATTTTGTCATGGCTATATGTCTTATTTCCAACTTTATTTTTTTTATTAGATTCAGGCAAGGTAACTTTTTAAGATCCTTTGTAACTTCTATGATTTAATGCTTTTTATGACATAATTTGGATTTTTTATGATTCCCATAATCTGTCACAGATTTGACTAAAAGTTTTCTTTATCTTGTCTTGTGCTAAGTCTGTAATATGTAATATAAGTGATAACTTCATGTGCGTATGGCATGTAAGAGTTTAGAATGGGTGACTTACTGCTGGCTTCTTCTAAAAAATATTGAAGTTGTATGTAATGAAATGTTGTAATTCTTTTTTTAGCTTCCCAAATGATTGAACAGTCTGGTGATAATACAAGTCACTCTGTGTGTGACACATCACTAAACATTACACGGGGTACTTTGTGTACAGGTAAAATTAACTTTGTTTTCTCTGATCTTGTATGATTTTCGTATTTAGGATTTTGTAATCATTTCAGGAGAGTAGAACAATTAAAACTAGAGCTCAGGGGGTGAGTATTTGGCACAGTATGATCCCACTTTGAACATTCATATCCCATGTCATAGTGCCTGGGTTTGAATCTCGGCTCTGATTTCCAGCTGCCTTCTAATGTGTACCTGGGGAGGCAGCAAGTGATGGCTCAGGTAGCCAGGTCCCTACCACCACCTGGAACCTGGATTGAGTCTGGCCCAGCTCCGACTGTTGCAGGCATTTGGGGAGCTAATCCCAATGGATTAGCTACTTTAATAAATTTAAGGCATGAGTTAAACCTCCTTTTTGGTTCCCATGGGTTTTCTTCTGTGTATTGACTTTTGCACTGTGGCATCAGTTGCCTAGCTTTCCATTTTAAACTGCTTAGGTCTGAGAAGAGTCAGAAAGAAGAGTCAGGAAGAATTGTTTCATGTATTATATAACAAACATATATCTTGAATGGATCAGTGGAGTATATAAAAGTTATCAATAAAGTCAAAAGATGAATAGAAAACTTCTAATTAGAAGCAGAAAGAGCATCTGTGAGCAGTTATATGTGCTGTATATTTTTTAATCTTTGAGCCCTTGCATTCACTTAGAATGATTATTTCTTTACTTTGATTGTATCAAATTTCTTATGATTTTCTTGCCTAGCCTACTGTGGGGTCTGAGTAAGTAGTTATGACCCCTGAAGAACTGTGTTCAAGGCCGGCGCTGTGGCTCAATAGGCTAATCCTCCGCCTGTGGCGCTGGCACACCGGGTTCTAGTCCTGGTCGGGGCGCCGGATTCTGTCCCTTGGGCCCTGCACCTGCATGGGAGACCAGGAGAAGCACCTAGCTCCTGACTTTGGACCTGTGCGGTGTGCCGGCCGCAGCGTGCCAACTGCAGTGGCCATTGGAGGGTGAACCAACTGTAAAGGAAGACCTGTCTCTCTGTCTCTGTCTCTCTCTCTCTCTCTCTCTCACTCTCACTGTCCACTCTGCCTGTCAAAAAAAAAAAAAAAAAAAACAAAACTGTGTTCAAGAGTGCTTAGAATGTTGGGAAAGCCATAGCAGTGACAGCACAAAAACAATAGCAAGAGAAAACCAGAGTTCCTTGTCAATGATTCATTTAGTCTTGCATTTTCTTTTGTGTGTTGGGATTAGTTACCCATTTGTCTTAAATAATTTCTCTCATTTTGTTTTATACTTGATATGTGTATTTCCTGGAAGTAGGAAAGAAACAGTTCTGATAGCTAATCCAGACTTCTTTTTATTTATTTATTTTGAAAGAGTGAGAGGTCTTCTACATTGCTTTACTCCCTAGATAGCTGCAACGGTCAGTCCTGGGCCAAGCCGGAGCCAAGACCATGAGCTTTATATAGGTCTCCCAAAAAGGTGCTGGAGCCCAAACCTTGCGGCATCTTCCACTGCTTTTCCCAGAAGTGGAGCAGCTGGGACTGGAACTGGCACCCACATGGAATGCCAGGACTCAAATCAGAACACATATGGGATGCTAGTTGTAGGCAATTGCCTAAACCACTACTAAGCAGCATTGGCCCCCTACCCTGACTTTGTTTTTACTCAGCTGCAGATGCTGCTCTTAGTGTCTTATCTCCTTTTTGTCATCATTCTCCCATCAGCCCTGTGATAGTTACCCTCACCATCCTCATGTTGCTAGTAAGAAAGCCAGCCTGGGAACCAGAGCTGTGGAGCAGCAGGTTAAGCTGCTACCTTAAGCACTGGCACCCATATGGGTGCTGATTCCAGTCCCGGCTGTTCCACTTCCTATCCAACTCCCTACTAATGCTCCTGAGAAAGCAGTGGAGGATGGCTCAAGTCCTTGGGCCCTTGTACCCGTGTGGAAACAAGGAAGAAGCTCCTGGCTCCTAACTTCATCCTGGCCCAGCCATGAATCATTGCAACCATTTGGGGGAGTGAACCAGCAGGTAGAAGATGGATTTATCTCTCTCTCTCTCTCCCCTTCTCTTTCTCTGTAACTCTGCTTTTCAAATAAATAAATAAATAAAATATTTTTTTAAAAAAAAGCAGTACACAGAGGTCAGGTTTCTTGGTACACGGTCATGTAGGATGTGAGTGGAATACCCAAGCCCTGCTGTCTTAGAGACAACTGAACTGCACGGTTTTGGGAGATAAGGTAGTGGTTTAGCTTTACTCCAGAAAAAGGTGAGCTGGAGAGGAAGTCAAAGCATTGGGCCTGCCAGATGGTTTCCTTTTGATATAATTAATGTGAGTTGAGGACTTCACTGGAAGGCAGGGAGGGTAAAGAAGAGTTGTGTTCATCAGGGAATCTAGAAGACCAGAACTTGACTAAGACCCTAAGGCAGCTGTTCCTTTTTTTTTTTTTTTTCCTTTTTTTAAGTTGTATTTGTTTATTTGAAGCAGAATGACAGTGAGAGAGTTCTGCTCCAGGTTCACTCCCCAAATGCTCACAATGATTGGAGATGGGCCAGACCAAAGCCATGAGCCAAGTGGGTGTTAGGGTCCCAAGTCCTTGGGCCATGTTCCCATGCTTTCCCAGGTATATTTGTAGGGAGCTTGAAAGGAGGTGGAGCAGCAGAGATTTTAACCATTCTCTGATATGGTATGCTGTCATTATATGAGGTGGCTTGATCACTGCACCACAGGACTGGCTCCAAGGCAGTGGTTACTAAGTTTTCGATCTCTTGAAGAATATACTGAAAAGCTATGGCTGTGCTTTTGCATGTGTAGATTTTAGAGGTTTGTTACCACTCCTGCCGTCATCCTAGCCTACAAACAGGGAAGCCTAGGCTTCTGGTTGAAATTCCTGCTTTCAGAGTGTTGTGAAGTGGAAACAAGAACCAGAATGTGGTCACTGCTCTTCCTAAGAGCTGTGTTTAAAAAGACTGATTTCAGCAGAATCTTAGAGTGGAAAATGCCCTAAACAGCACTCTGGCCTCAGAATCAGCCCTTCAGGCACTCAGATCTGGCTAAAAAGCCTGTGAGAGTTTCTCAGGCATGGAAAGCCAAGACTGTGTAGCAAAAATTACCTAAATGAAAGATCTCTGTGAGTGAGATCCCTGCGGAAAGAATGGGCCATCAAAGAAGGAGGTACCTTTCATTAAAGGGAGAAGAGAACTTCCAATTTGATTACAGCCTTGTCTAAACAAGGTCGGAGTTTGTGAACTCAAGAGTCTTCCATAACCTTGGCAGCTCAAGACAAGAGCCTCGGGTGATTACTGACGTCATAAGAGTGTCAGTTGTTAAATCAGCAACCGAAGTCACTGTGCACTTACTCTGCATGTAGGATCACTGTCCTTCATGTGTTGTACTATGTGAATTAATGGTATAACTGTTACTCAAACAGTACTTTATACTTTGTGTTTCTGTGTGAGTGCAAACTGTTGAAATCTTTACTTAGTATATACTAAGTTGATTTTCTGTATGTAAGGATAATTAAAAATAAATCTTAATAAAGAATGGGATGGCAGAGGGAGTAGGAGATGGGATGGCTTGCAGGTGGGAGGTGGTTGTGGGAGGAAAAACTGCTATAATCCAAGTTATACTTTCAAAATTTATATTTATTAAATAAATGTTTTCATAAAAAAATAAATAAATAAAAAGGGTGATTTTGTTGGTCAACTTAAAATGTTTCTAATAATGTCAGCCATTTAAAAAGTTAACCCTTTATTAATATTTTCTAGATGAATCCTTTGATCTTTGTGGAAACTCAGAATGTAGAAATCAGGAGACAAAATTGAGAGAACCTACTAATGAAATTAAAAGTGATGGATGCATTGCTTCACCAATATTGAAAACAAATAGCATTCATTCACTAGCATCCTCCACTTGCCTCAGTCATACAAGTCCTCAGAAATCTGTGGAAGAAATAAATTTGCAAGGAGACCCTGTAGGTGAAGTAGCTACCTCTAACAGAAAGCAAGCAGGAAGTGTATCTAAAAAGATGTGGTCTCCTACATTATCTACAACAAAAGACCACCCGCATTCAAGACCCAAGAATTTCTCAGCAAAAAGAAAAAGAATGTCACCTCCAGATGAAAGACCCAAGAAGAAAAAGTCCAGCAGGAGATTAGTCTTGCCAAGGCTGCAGCTGTGTAAGTCGGAAACCAGCCCGCAGTTCATGACCAGGCCTGCCGTTGAGGCTCTGGGCGGCCTGGAGTCCTCTTATGAGGATTACTTTTCTCCCGATAACCTTAAGGAAAGGGATTCAGAGAGGCTTCCTTCTGAGTCTCCGATGCCATCAGGTCCTGCTCTGTTCCACTGCAGAAGTCTTTCTAAGAGGGAGAGAACAAACATCTTAGGAATGTCTGACTTCTCCTGCATTGGTGAAGAACCCAGATCAACTGACTTTCCCAATTTAACAGCAAAACTTAGCTTCAGTCCTCAGAAACATGCAAATGGTGAAGGAAGTGCTTCCAAGAAGACAGCTGCTCCTGCAGAACGCCCTGAGAGTCCCCGCCAGGCTGTCCTCCAGCAGGGAGGGGACTCTGAATGCCCACACAGGGACAGCTCCTCTCATCTCGAGGACCCTGCACGTCCCGTGGGACTTGGTAGTGACTTAACCGCTTTGAAGGGAGGCGGTGAAGAAAGGAGAGAACTGACTGACCTGAAAAGCATGGAAAAAGAAGATGCTAGTTCCAAAATGTCGAACTCCTCTGTTGGTGACATGCAAACTGATGATAAACTAAATTTTGTAGATGCTTGTAATGTGGAGAAATCAACAGAGGAAAAAGAAAACATACCCAGAGGATATAGCAAAAGTATGTGAATGCCATTTCCAAATACCTTTGTTACTTGAATGTGTGTGATAGTTCATCGTTTGCTAGTTTATCGCTTTTTCATAATTTAAATTATTCCCCCCCCTTTTTAATTTAAAGATTGTGGGTTAGTACTTTCCAGTAATAAAATTTCTTTAGGAGTAGCTGACCTGCCATCCTGCAGCATTTCTGTGCTTATTGGGCAGTCTGTTACGAGGAATACGTTTCTCCATGCCTTTTCCTCCTCACAGGCCGGGCCAGAAGCAGAAGTAGTCCCTGGTGAGAACTGTTGCCTGGGGCAGGTGCTTCTTTCCTTGTTTCATCTTGTTCTCTTCCATAACATGATTATGGTGAGGCATACCAGTAGCCTTTTTCAAAAGCCTCATAGGAGTGAGGTTGTTTATTTTAGAAATAAAATTGAAAATTAACCCTTTTACTCAGGTAAAAAGCTCGTTTATATCAGGCCTCATTTGATTTCTACTTATTTGCATTAAGCATATCATTCAACCAAATTTATCCCTATCTGTAATTTAATCATGACAGTTACGTAGTGAACAACATAATATAATAATGAACGACATGTAGTAATTATATTAAAAGTGGCAACAGGAAGCACAGCTAGATTCTAGCAGTCAAAATTGAAGAAATCTTGAACTTTGATCACCTTTACAGAAAGACTTGTTTAAAGTTTGAAGACAACCGAGTTTTAGTCTTGATCGTAGCTGTACTTTCCAAGTGGTTTCAGCCGCCATTTTTATGACAATGATGTCATGGGTGAAATCATGACAACTGTGTTCCATATCTGTTCCTTAGGGGAGATTCCCTGAATTGTCTCACCAAAAGAGCCAGTTGATTATGTCTTAAAGTTACTATTTATTTCTTAGCTTTCTGGACTTACATTAAATTCTGTAGGAATCTACATGTATCAGTATGTGTTTTAGTATGTGTTTTCAAAATGTTTATTTTAAAATCATGTTGACTAAATATAAAACAAGATGTGTAGAATTGTTTTGGTAGTTAGGAATATCCTCTTCCAAAAGCCCACATTCTCTCAGTTTTTCTTCATTGTATTTCTAAAACTTTTGGATAAAACTTAATGACATGCGAATGCATATTCAGTGGAAAAAAAATCTTGATAGTGTGACACACCTTAAATTCCCTGTGTCGTCAGAAATCCATAGGCTGTGAAAGCAGGTGTGTTTCGTGTTCAGGACCAGCCCCCAGCATCCACAGCCCTGAGTGCCTGGGGGTAGGTAGAAGAGGAAAGGGGCAGGCATGGTTGGTTCAGTAAGACTTCTAGAGTACTTGAAGATTTTGGTGGTATGGGCTGTTGCATACCACTAGGCAGGGCTTAGTGACTCAGTTTGACTTACTTGCAAGCATTATAACCTAATACAGGATGTCTTCTGAGTCTTCTGCTCCATTTTACTTCATCCTGAACGGATGGGAAAATCTTTGGATTCTAAGACAGGAAAAGACTTGTCCAGCCTAAAGAATCTTTTTTTATGATATTAAAATTGACAGTGATGTTTCAAATTGTCCAGTCACCTCCGCTGGAGCTTAGTTAAAGCCATTCCTTGATAATCTCAAGTAAGTGAACATCTACACCTGCTGAAGCTGGAGCAGTAAAACTACTCTGTACATCTGACCATATCTCTCCACGTCTTTTCTGATTAAATAAAAGCTGTTTTTAGTTTCACTTCCTGTTGTCAATATCTAGGACTTTAATAAAGCATTCAAGAACAAGCTTCTAAGAGATTCAGTAATAAACATTAACAGAATAGGAACTGAGGGAGTGACTTAATGTTGCTCTTAAAAGTAATTTTTAAATCATCTTTTTTGTGTGTTTCAAGTTTTATAAACAATACACATATACATCCCCACTGTAACAAAGATTGCTGGAAAGATTAAGTTTTCCTCATCTCATACTTCTCACCTCCTTTCTAAAATGAGTTAATTTAACAACCGTTGGAAGTTGTGCACCTGTTGTATTCTGTGTGTCCACTAGTTGGTGAGGAGATGGTGGAGAATGAAGTGACATGCCCCTTACTCGTCATAAGCTGCATTCTGATGAGGAAGACAGATGGTAAAGGAAAGTGTTACATGGTGTCAGCTAGTGAGAAGTAACTCATGGAAGGGAAATCTTGGGAGGCATAAATGTGCAGGAGGTTAGATAGGGAGCCAGGGGAGGATTCTCTGAAGGTGGCATTCAGCCACAGGCCTGCAAGAGGTGTGGGAGGGAGCCTTGGTACTGTCTCCTAAAACACATCCCAGTCTGAGATAATAGCAAGGACAAATCTCCTGAAGTAGAGAAATGCTTGCACAACATCAAGGAAGCCAGTGCAGCAATGACTTACTACTGATGTAAAGGGAGCTTGGTAGGATAAGAGATTGGAGGGGCTGGCATCTGGGATGCTGGCGTCCCCTCTGGGAGTCCCAGCCGCTGAGCTGCTCATCCAGCTCCCTAATGGCAGCTGGGAAGGCAACACAGGATGACCCAAGTGCTTTGGGCCCTACCACCCATATAGGAGACCTAGATGGAATTTTAGGCTCCTGGCTTCAGCCTGGCCCAGCCTGGGCCATTGCAGCCATTTGGGAAGTAAACCAGCAGATGGAAGATCTCTGACTGTCTCTGTCTTTCCTTTCTTTATCATTCTGCCTTCAAATAAATAAATCTCTTCAAAGAAGGAAAGGAAATTGGAAAAGGAGCCAAGAACCAGGTTGTTTTGTTTTTTAGTGTAATGAGCAGCCATTGGGAGTTTGAACATAGGAGTAACCAAATCTGGCTTATGTTTTAAGTGTAACCTTGGATACTTTATGGAGACCAAACCGTGGTTTACAGTGTTTATCTGCTAGCAGAAGCAATCACTGTCAGCAGTTTAATGCTTCTTTTCAGACTGCGTGGGAATATAACATACAAATGCAGGTAGAGTTTTAAGGAAATATTGTTTTCATACATGGAATTATGTTTGCTGCCTTAAAATATACTGTTTCTCCTCAACATGTCTGATATACTTTCACATTGGTAACAGTTACCTTCAGCAAAATTTTCTATAATGGGTCACGGTGAGTATATATGTGAGTACTTATGTAGGTGATAATATAGTGAAGGATAATTTCATGTACTTTTTAGTGCTGAAATTCATAGTAAAATCGAGTATGATTTTTTGTAATGCAGACCCACTAATGGGAATAGATGGACTTTTTGAGGGGGGAAGAATAACATTTCATTTAAGTGGGAGTGAGTGTTCCTATTACCAAAATTCATTTAAAATGTTTATTAAGGCCACTGTGTATTTACTATTTCTTTTACTTTGGAAATGCATGGGTAGGTACTGCCAGATACTGGTATCATTCCACAAGCAGATGAGTCGCAGTACATTAATTGCTTAAAAGTCATGGATGGAATGTTCTGTTAGGTTGTTCTGATGATGCATGCCTTCTGATGTGGCTTCATGTTGAAGTGAGATGGAAGCTTTTCAGTTGTGCAATATCAAAGGGGGTTTTGAAATACAGAAATTTTTGCTCTCCCTTCCTGAAAAACACTGATGAAACTATAGTTGGAGATCTGTCCCCAGCAAATTTGCTGTTTTAATTTTTGAGAAAACAAGACAGAAAAAGAAGGATGTAAGCAGCTGACCTTAGTTATTTGTCAAAAATGACATCCCATCTGCCTGTGAATACTGTTGACCGACCATAGCTGTTCAACCACCTGAACTCAGTTTGAATTGTTGAATTTGTTGTAATGACACCTCGACTGCCCATGATACTGCTAACCATAGCTCTTAAACCACCTAAACTCTGTTTAAATTGCTAAGTAGGTAAAGCCTATTGGTCATTCTGAACCAGTGTACAGCAAGGCTCTTGGTTGCTTGTTAGTAATGCAGGGGGTCAAGGGTTCCATAGGTACCATGTCACCACCAGTACAGAACTCTTCCATTCTTGTCCATCAGTTGAGTACAGGTTTTCTTTGATGGTTGTACACAGGTGTTGTCAGCTTATCTGAGAAATTTAGCCATGTCCAGACATTAGGTTTTTTTTCACAGATGATAGTCACCAGTTGTTGGAGGTCAGTGATAGTGAGCTGCTCGTCTCCCAGCTCTGTCTACCAGATCTTACCTGGTGGCAAGTCTCAGAAACAGCCATTTGGGGCTGGCGCTGTGGTTAAGTGGGTAAAGCTGTTGCCTGCAGTGCTGGCATCCCAAATGGTTCAAGACCCAGGTGCTCTATTTTTATCCAGCTCTCTGCTATGGCCTGGGAAAGCCGTATAGGATCCCCAAGTTCTTGGGTCCCTGTACCCGCGTGGGAGACCCAGAAGAAGCTCCTGGCTCCTGGCTCCTGGCTCCTGGCTCCTGGCTCCTGGCTTCGGACCGGCGCAGCTCTGGTCATTGTGGCCAATTGGAGAGTAAACCAGTAGATGGAAGACATTTTCTCTGCCTCTCCTTCCCTCTCTGTGTAACTCTTTCAAATAAATAAATAAATCTTTAAAAAAAGAGACATTTACTAGACACTTTTATTGACAGAAAGGGAATGGCCTACAAGACAGACTGATATGCTTGACTTTCAGTTGACTGCCTGTACCTTACCCAGGGTAAACGAAGCAGACTGTTCTGGGCAGGTTTCTGCAAACTTATGGTCAGGCTCAGGTCATCAGACAGCCTTTGCCACTGAGGATTATCCAGGGCCATTTAAGGATCAATCCTGGGAGAGCCCAGTGGATAGCAGCTAAAGCTCATACCAGATTTTTATGCCCTATTCCTGAGTGGGAAGGGAAGAACCCCCTAAACCAATCCATTTTCTTGAACCTGAATTCATCCTGTGAAAAAACATTTCAGACAGTATTACAGTGATGACCAAGTAGATGATGTCATCAATTAAACTCCTCTCTATTCATCTTGCCAGTTAGCAAAGCATCTTATCCTGAGCTAAAGGATTTACATGAATTTTTGGGAATGTGGTGTTTATGTTGATATGTTAGTACTTTTGGAGTGTGATGAGCTAGC